TAAGCAACAACAATGTGTGTGCCCTTGTGACAACGAAAGGGTACAGCTATAGTTCAGATGTTTGCATAGGCACTAGCTTCCCTCACTAATATCCTGTCCCCCGCAGAAGGGAGAGGAGCCGCCTGGCACAGCTGAGTGGCTGACATCTTAGCATCTGTTTTGCTGAACTGCAAGTTGCGTTTGTTTTTTAATGGATCTATTTTTATCCTGCCACATGAGGCTCCTCCGTGTCATATTTACAAAGCTAAAACCCAAAACATCCTAGCGAAGCTCTCTGGAGAGACATTTTGCAGATTCTCATGCCGCCACATCAGGTTTCGCTTAACAACATCTGCTGATGCTGGCTCCTGTGCCTTCAGCAGTGCTTGACCTGGGCCTTGTGCATGTGAAGTGCTCCTGACGAAGTTTCCCTCCGCTTGAGCTGTTGCACTAGTTGTCCAGGTGTGACCAAAAGGAGATTCATGTTTTCAGCTTGACCGAGATCAGACAAGCCAAGGAGAGTGCTCAGCTATTCAGTTCTCTGTTCTGCTGCAGGCTTCCTGGGACTTTGGGCCAGTCCCTGTCAGTGCCTCAGTTTCCCCATCACTAAAATGGGGATAATAGTACCTCCTGGGCTATTGGGAGGATATATGAATTAAAGATTAGGAGGGGCTCAGATACTGCAGTCATAGGAGCCAGATAAGTACCTGAGAGATCTTGTCTGATACAAAGGTAATGGGCGCCATAAGCACCTAAATAACTGACCTGTGTCTGTTTATCCTGTGCCCATCACCATTGCATCCCTGTTCCTCTATCAGTCATAAATAAGCAGACTTGTATGTTCACAGCTCTTCCTTTTTTCCAGTAACAGGAAGAGTTCTCAGGAACTCCCTGATCTTATCCTGCTAGTCTCCTCTTCTCCGTCTGAGAGCAGGCTCTCAGTTTTGGCATTATAAAGCATCCCAGTCTCTGCATGCCTACTCCACTTTTAACAAACTGGCAGGTGTAGTCAACTTCAAATCTCGCCAATTTTAAAGAGGTAACGTAGTTTCGGGAACTGCCCCCTCCTACCGGTGGCTGCCATGGTTTTAGAATCACCTTGATTTGTAAATGTCTCCCTCACTTTCTGTCTGCTGTGAATGGCCCACACAAAATGAGGAAAGGGGCTGACTGCTCAAGGGAAGGAGTGTGACAGACTAGACAAATGCATAAAGTAAATTGGAAAACAGAATTATTCCTCTGGTCTGTCAGGCCTGGTGCATGCATTCAGCTGCACCAGTTCAACTAAGGCGTGTTTACACTGTTTTTGTTAAACCTCACTGCAAATGCCTGTGTGGACATTCTTAAGCTGATTTTAAACCTGGCTTATGTTGATTTAAATATTTATTGATATTCAGTAAGGAATCAACTGAAGCTAAATTGAAATAACCCTGGTTTAAACCAATTTTAAAGGGTCCATGCCAGTTTAACTAAACTGGTTTTAAACTGATTTTGGTTAAACTAGTGCAACTTCATGTGTAGACTGAGCTTCCAGGGGTGTTTGAGACAATGGCAGGCTTTCAAAAACACAAGACACTCCTTTCAGATCTCCCCCACTATATTTTCCACTGTATGCATCCGATGAAGTGAGCTGTAGCTCATGAAAGCTTTATGCTCTAATAAATTTGTTAGTCTCTAAGGTGCCACAAGTCCTCCTTTTCTTTTTACGGATACAGACTAACACAGCTGCTACTCTGAAACCTTTCAAAGTCCATATCCTTTTAACTTTTTGAAAAGTCTCAAGTAATTTGAGGGCATTTCCTTCCCAGCCAGAGCTATGGAGAGTGCTCAGTCCATCAAGTGATCTGATTACCTGCACATTCGGGGTTGCTATATAGTATATATTTATAAGGACTTTAATATAGATTCCTAATTGCTTGTCTCTTTTGATTTATAATACGCCCTCCTGAGTGATTGGCTCATAGCACCGATGTGCTCCACAGGTGTTTTGAATTGCCCAGGCAGCAGGAGGCATTTTTATAATTCCAGAAAGAGACAAGTAGCTGACCAAGCGCTGAAACACAAGATATGCTGTACTGTAGCTGAATACGATAGGGGAGGTTTGGTCTGGTTGCAGAGGATTCAGAAGCACTCTGTTATGTTCCTGGCTCTACCTCCAACTCAGTGTGGCCTTAAGTATCAGAGGGGTTGCCGTGTTAGTCTGTATCCACAAAAACAACGAGGAATCTGGTGGCACCTTAAAGACTAACTGATTTATTTGGGCATAAGCTTTTGTGGGTAAAAAAAAAAACCCACTTCAGATGCATGGAGTGAAAATTACAGATACAGCCATAAATATACTGGCACATGAAGAGAAGGGAGTTACCTTACAAGTAGAGAACCAGTGCTGACAAGGCCTGTTCAGTCAGGTCCACTCCCGATAATAGAGAAACTGCAGAGCTACAATTCATTTGCAAACTTAATTTGCACACCATTAAGTTGGGCTTGAATAGGGACTGGGCGTGGCTGGCTCACTACAAAAGCAATTTTCCCTCTCTTGGTATTAACACCTCCTCATCAATTATTGGGAATCCCGTTTTCTGACTATGGGTGCCATCATATAGCACCTAAGGTGATACCCCACTACTACAGCGCGAAGTTGCCTGAAGCTGCTCGGTCATATGGTTGCTTACACAAAGACTTTGGCTCTGACATCTTCACACCTGGCTGGCCTCAGTGTACAGGCCCACCTGAGACCACCTAGACAAGTTCAGTTACACTTCCTCCTCCGGTTACCTCCTGTGGTGGCTCAATCCTCAAGCAGTGTGCGCGGGAGTGCCCTTCTCTAGGCCCCAACCCTCAATGTCTCTAGTCATGGATGCGTCAGTGATGGGATGGGGGGCGCACTTAGGAAGACGCAGGACTCTGCCTCTGATCTCAGGCAGAACTTCCTTTTCACATCAATGTCAGGGAGCTAAGAGCAGTCCACCTTTCTTGACAGACATTCCAAGCCCATCTGGAGGGCAGATGTGTATCGGTATTGACCGACAACATGACAGTGATGTTCTGTATAAACAGACAGGGTGGTGCTCGCTCCTCTCCCCTGTGCCAGGAAGCCCTCAAGCTGTAGGACTTCTGCATTGCCCATTTGATACATCTAGAGGCATCGTACCTTCCAAGTTCCCAGAACAAACTGGCCAGTCATCTCAGCAGATCATTTCACAATCACGAGTGGTCCCTCCACCTCCAACGATGGGGTTTCCCCAAATAGATTTGTTTGCAACAAAGTACAACAGGAAGTGTCACCAGCTTTGCTCCTTCCTGAATCACAGCCTGGGCTCACTCGCAGACGCCTTTCTCCTCCCCTGGAAGGACCATTTGCTTTATGCATTCCTGCTCTTCCCACTTATACACGAGGTCCTGCTGAAGGTGAGAAGGGAGTGAGCATCAATGATCTTAATAGCAGTGTGGCCCGCCAGTATTGGTTCACCACACTTCTAGACCTGTCGGTGGACACGTCGATAACCCTGCCCACTTGGTCACCCAGGACCACGGCCTCCTCCAGCATCCCAATCTGTAGTCTTTCCATCTCTCAGCATGGAAACTCCAAGGGCTCACATGCTCAGACCCTGTTAGAGAGGTCCTCCTTAGCAGCAGGAAACTATCCACTAGGGCCACCTGTCTGGCCAAGTGGAAAAGATTCCCCATTTGGGCATTACAAAAAGACACTCCACCCTAACAGTCATCGATTCCCTTTATCCTGGACTATTTGCTGCATCTGAAACAGCAAGGTCTGTCAGTATCATCAGTAAAGGAGTACCTGGCCGCCGTCTCAGCTTTCCACCCCGGTTCGGCTAGTCACTCTGTTTTTGCAAACCCCATGGTGGGCCGCTTCCTCAAAGGATTAGATAGGCTGTACCCTGAAGTAAGACAGCCAGTTCCCCCATGGGTTCTCAACCTGGTGCTTTCTAGGCTAATGGGACCTCTTTTCGAGCCCTTAGCAACATGTTCTGTTCTCTACTTTTCCTGGAAAGAAACGTTCTTGGTGGCTATAACTTCAGCCAGGAGGGTGTCTGAGCTTAAGGCCTCAAACTTGGAGCCCCCAGACATGGCCTTCTATAAGGACAAGGTGCAGTTGCGACCGCAGCCAGCCTTTCTCCCAAAGGTAGTTTCGCAATTCCACATGAACCAGGACATTTGTCTTCCTGTGTGTGTTTTTTCCCCTAAGCTGCATGCTAGCAACAGGAAACAAATGCTCCCCTCCCAGGATGCCAGACCAGCATTAACCTTCTACATTGAAAGACCAAAGCCATTTCAGAAATCATCCACTCCACAATTGCAATGAAGAGCTGCGCTGAAGGGGCTTCCAGTTTTGTCTCAAAGGATCTCTTCTTGGAACACATCCTGTATCCGGGCGTGCAATGATTTAGCAAAGATACCTGTTCCTGCGCTGACAACACACTGCACAAGTGTGCAGGCATCCTCAGCAGCTGTCAAGGCTGATTCCCCACTCTGGCACTTCGAGTGCAGAAGGTGGGGGCCTGCAAGGATTTTAAAAATTAATACTGGCCACTCCAGGCTTGTATTAAACTCCCAAGGTTACAGCTTCTCTCTGACTTCGGATGGATAGATGCTGCCACCACCCAAGTGCAAACACACGCACTCCTTTTGAGAACCCAGGAAGGAACACTTGAGAATTCCTTCCTGTGGGGTACCCTCAAGCCCTTTCACACACACCCCTCCGCCCCCCGCCTTTGTGGAAAGAGCTGAGGAGGAAGAAAAAAAATAAGGAAATCAGCTGTTGCCTCCAGCTAACTAAACAACATGCACAAACCTCTAGGATGCACAAACCCAGTCCTGTTCTTGAAAAAGGTAAATTTTTTTAAAACCAAAACCCATGAAAATGCGTCTGGAATTTAGGCATTTGCCAGATTTAAAAAACCCATTTACAAAATTTAAACATCAAGAATAACCTTTTTGAGGTCCAGCTTTAAAGGTTACAAGCAAAACAAAGGCATCTGAGGTTAGCACAGAGGAGTCCACAAGCCATAAAGAAATAAACCTAATAGTGTCTTGCTAGACATTTCCTGATCTATTTACATATTTGGGTAGTTCTAGGTATAATCTGATTTCCATACCTGTCAAAAAGCTTTTTACAGCATAGTAATAGCCCTGACTTTTCCCTGTTCCCTCTCTCTGGACAACAACCACAGAACACAAAGGGAAAGCTTTTTTCCCAATTTTAAAAAGTTCTAGCCCTCCCATTGGCTCTTTTGGTCAGGTGCCCACTCCCTTCCTTTTACCTGTGGGCTTGTTAACCCTTTACAGGTAAAGCAAGAAGAGAACAACCACCAAAAGGGATTCCGTAGCTGACTGGCTGGGTGTCCACAAAAGGGAGCTGTCCCCCCCTCTCATTTATCACAGCTGCATTACTGGCACAAGTCCCCATTCAAGACATCTGCAGGACAGCAACGTGGTCATCGATCCACACCTTTACATCATACTATGCCATTACACAGCAGGCCAGAGACTATGCCACATTTGGCAGGGCGGTGCTACAATCTGCGGTCTGTTGAACTCCAACCCCTCCTCCTAGGAGATGCTTGGGAGTCACCTGCTTGGAATCGACATGAGCAAGTACTCAAAGAAAAAACTGTTACCTACCTTCTTGTAACTGGTGTTCTTAGAGATGTGGTGGTCATGCCCATTCCAAAACCCACTCTGGTGGAGTATCTGGCAAGAAGGAACTGAAAAGGTGGTGGGTCAGCAGGGCCCTACATACACTGCCATGAACATGTGATTCCAGGGGCTCCCCAGCTGACCTGATGAGTACCGCAAGGGGAAAAGCCTTCCAATGACTGTGCATGCAGCATGCACATACCTAAAATGGAATGGACATGAGCAACACATCTTGAAGAACAACAGTTACAAGAAGGTAGGTAACCATTTTTCTTCTTCCTCGAGACGTGTTGGTCATGTTGATTCCATTCTAGGTATGTGCATGCCCAGGCACTGTTGTCGGAATTTTTTGCTTTAGAGTTATCTGTAGGGCCGGTTCTGACGTCCTCTGGAGCCCCGCGCTCATGCGTCAGTATATGAGGCGCCGTCGGCCCTACGCACTCTCAGTTCCTTCTTACTACTCATGACGGTTGGTCGGAGCGCCTTCCTCTTGCTTTGCAAGTGTGATAGCGGTTTCTATTAACCTACTGACTGTTCTTTTTGTATAAAGTTGACAATAGTTAGTTAGTAATTAGTTGTTAGGTCTTAATTGAGTTAGAGTCCCAGCAGGGACTTTGCCCTGGGCAGGGCATGCCCTGGTCCCCCGGCTTCAAACCGTGCTCAGCTTGTAGTAAGTTTGCAGGTTAGTGACCCCTACAGCAGTTGCCTAAAGTGTTTGGGGGAGTTGCACATGAAAGATAAGTGCAGAATCTGCAAAAACTTTAAGCCGAGGACCCAAAAAGAGCAGGACATTTGTCTTCAAGCCCTCCTCATGGAGGCTGCACTTTGCCCGGTGTTGGAACTGTCCCTCTGCAATTCAACACCTAGTACATTGGTGTTGGTCCAGAGCACCCTGCCGGCACAGAATTCCTCCTGGCGCTGCTCCCCCTCACTGGTGCCCGAGAAGTGCCAGAGAAAGCAGCATGGCTCCCCGGCACAGGGTAAAGATGGGGGGGTGTTGAGCAAAGGACCCTGTTTGGGCCTCTTGCTCACCCCAGAGCTCCAAGGTGGTATCTCTCCAGCTGGACCCCTCAGCCCGCCCAGAGATCCACCTCCAACTCCTGGGAGCGGTAGGGGACCTCAGCACTTGTTAGTACCTTTGACGCCTGAGACTTTCCAAGCGGCTAGGGACCTTATGGCCCCTCCAGCACCACCTATGCTGCGTCCAGCAGTAGATACAGCTAAGGCTCCCCAGTCCAAGGGCAAGCTAGCCATCAGTCCGCCTCAAAGGGCAGTGGACAGTCATCGGTCTCTGGAGCAGAAGCGTTGGTCCCCGGCCAAACGTCCCAGGTCTCCAATACTGCGTTCGCGGTCCCCGCTGATGCAGCGTGGATCACCCGCATCAGGGCACCAGTCTCCATGCTCCCAGTACCCGCCCTCCTTCTGTCAACCAACACCCCGGTGAAGGTCTCCATCCCCCCAGATGGCCTTTGGTGCATCAGTCACCACTGATGCAAAACCACTCTTCACCAGTCCCTGCTGCCCCACCACCAGTCACCACCTGTTAGGCACCGGTCCCCCATTCCTCGAGTCAGTAGCCAAACACAAGCTTCCACGCCCCACCCTCCTTAGGCTCCGGAGACCAGCACGGCACCTGCAGCGAACGCTTGGCAACAGGGGTCTGCCACTGATGCCAGTGCCGTGTTCTCACCACTCCTCCCTTGCCGTGAGAAGCAACTGGCGGTACCAAGTTCAGAACATGGCATGGATTCTGACGCAGGGTGGCAGGACAGGTGCTGATGCCAAAGGAGCCCTTCCCAATGAGGAAAAGTGCCCCAAGCCCTCCCCCCATGGTGACGACATCGTCCTTGTAGTTGGGCCCTGGCACTCTAGCCATCTGGATGCCTTCAGGGCGCACCGAGCCCTATGTAGGAGGGAGGCTTCCAACCTGGGTTTGGAGGTTGAGGAGGTGGTGAAACCGCTGTGCGCGCTCTTTGACATTCTAATGGAGGCAGCCTGGCGGGTTGCACTGCCAGCCCACGAAGGGGTGTTAAGGGTTGCGAAGGCATTTTGGCAAACCCCTTCACCGATTCCACCCACATCCAAGTGGGCTGAAAAGAAATACTATGTCCCTGCCAAAAGGTTTGAACGTCTGTGCACCCATCTGCTCCCTGCGTCGCTAGTAGTATCGGTGGCTAACAAGAGGGATAAGTAGGGGCAGGCTAGTGCCATGCCTTAAAATAAGGATGCTAAGAGACTGGACCTTTTTGGAAGAAAAATGTATTCGACGGCCAGTCTCCAGTTCCGGGTGTCAAACTATCAGGCCTTGTGGGGGAGATACAACTTTAACGTATGGGATTTCCTCAGTAAGTTCAAGGACTCCCTGACTCAAGACCTCTGCCAGGAGTTTGCAGCCATTCAGGAGGATGGCAAGATGGTCGCGAGGGGCTGACTCAGCAGCCCGAGTCGTTGCCTCGGCCGTGGTGATGAGGCAAAGTTCCTGGCTGCAATCCTTGGGTCTATCCCAGGAAATGCAGTCCTCCATCCAGGACCTTCTGTTTGAAGGGAATGCTCTCTTCTGACTGATGCGAGGCTGCATGGCCTGAAGGATTCTTGAGCCCCTTTGCACTCGCTTGGCCTCTGCCACCCAGGTCCTGGGGGCCTCCTTGGCAATGTGCCTTTAAGAGAGAGAGAGACAGGGTTTAAATGCAGTCGCCCCTTTTCCTCCCATTCGCCTGCCCAGTCCAGCTAGACATTCAGGGGGCTCGAGACAGGGGTTTTGGTGATGTGCACGAGGACGGCGCCCCAGTCAGACTCCAGGATCCACCCTCTACAGTCAGGATGGTCTCAAATAATCTCAGACCGTTGGGTACTCAGCATAGTATCCCTGGGCTACACCCTGCAGTTCTCGACCACTCCTCCCTCCCACCCCCTTTCCCTGTCCCTCTTCAGGGACCCTTCTCACGAACAACTCCTGGTTCAACTCCTCCTATGGCTGGGGGTAGTAGAGGAGTTCCCTTGATACTTGAAGGGGAAAGCGTTCTACTCCCAATATTTCATAATCCCGAAAGCAAAAGGAGGACTAAGACCCATTCTGAACCTATGCCGCCTCAACGAATATTTCAAGAAGTTGAAGTTTCGCATCATCTCCCTGGCCTCCATCATCGATGGATCCCGGAGACTGGTATGCTGCTCTTGGCTTGAAGGACCCATATTTCCATTTTCCAGGGGCACAGACGGTCCCTCCATTTCGTGGTGGGCCAACGCCATTTCCAAGTCCCTGCACTATCCTGCGGCCTCTTGTCTGCCCTGAATGTGTTCACAAAGTGTATGACACTAGTGGCCGCTTACCTGAGGTGTCGAGTGTTCAGGTTTATCCATATCTCAATGACTGGCTCCTCAAGGGAATGTCTCAGGCCCAGGTGCAAAGGATCCTCGATCTGGTGCACTCCACCTGTCACGATCTGGGTCTGTCGATTAAATGAGCAGAAATCATCTCTGACCCCTGTGCAGTGTATAAAGTTTATAGGAGCGATACTCAACACTACACAAGCCAGAGCCTTCCTCCTGGAGGCCCGTTTCCAGACTATGTCCGACCTAATCTCTCACGTGAGGGCCCACCCATTCACTACTGCCCATATTTGCCTGAAGTTGTTGGGCCACATGGCAGCTTGTACTTACGTGGTGGGGCACACACCGCTTTAGCTCAGACCCCTGCAAGCATGGCTGGCATTGGTCTATGTCCCCAATAGACACGATCTGAACTGGGTAGTCATGGTACGGATCACATCTGGTCACTCCTGAAGTGATGGTCGGCCCCCCGCTCATTGTTGGAGGGAGTTCCCTTCCCGGTCCTGGCCCCATCAGTGACCCTGGTCTCTGATGCTTCAGACGTAGGTTGGGGAGCTCACCTGTGAGTCGTTGGTCACAAGATGATCATGCTCTCCCCACAAACATCAGAGAGCTCAGGGTGGTGTGCTTGGCATTCCAGGCATTCCTGCCTCACCTGAGGGGCAAGGTGGTCCAAATCCTGACGAATAATACCACTACAATATTTATTATCAAGCAAGGCGTAGCCCACTCGTCAGTCCTTTGCCGAGAAACTCTCTGGTTGTGGGACTTTTGTGTGCTGCATGCCATCCATCTCATGGCCTCGCACCTTCTAGGGGCCAGGAACGTGTTAGCAGATCACCTCAGCAGGACCTTCTCATCTCGCCACGAATGCTCACTCCATCCAGAAGTGGTCAGTGTGATCTTCAGAGTTGTGGGACTTATTCGTGTCCAGGCAAAATAGGAAGTGTCACATCATCTGCTCTTTGTGGGATTGACGGAGGCTCCCTGTCCGACGCCGCCTTGCTCCCATGGTTGGGGGATCCGCTATACACTTTTCCACCAGTGCTTCTAATCCAGAGTCCTCATGAAGATCAAGCAGAGAAAGGCAAAGGTAATCCTGATAGCTCCAACTTGGCCTCACCCGCACTGGTTCAGCACACTGCTGGACCTCTAGGTGGCTGCTCTGATGCTGCTCTGGTCGGACCTGCTGTCCCAGAACCACAGCCAACTACTGCACCCGAATCTAGAAGTTCTGCACCTGATGGCTTGGTTACTGCATGGTTGAATGTGGAAAAGCAGGCATGCTTGGCCAGTGTTCAACAGATCCTGATGGGCAGCAGAAAGCCCTCCACTAGAGTGACCAACCTGGCCAAGTGAAAACTGTTCACACGTTGGGCTTGGACCAAAATCTTTGGCCCAAACAGGCCTCACTCCAGTCAATCCTGGAGTATCTTTTGCATCTCAAGCTCCAGGGCCTGCCTCTTTTGTTGGTTAAGGTCCCCTTGGCTGCTGTTTCAGCCTTCCAGTACAGGGCAGGTCAGTCTTTGCTCATGACAGGACGGTCCGGTTTCTAAAAGGTCTGGAGAGGCTGTACCCTCAAGTCCATGACCCTGTCCCACCTTGGGACCTGAACCTCGTGCTATCAAGGCTCCTGGGTCTTCCCTTTTGAGTGATTGGCTTCTGTTCCCTTCTGCTGCTCTCATCGAAGGTCTCCTTTCTGGTGGCAATATCATCAGCCTGTGGTGTCTCTGAAATTAGAGTACTCATCTCAGAATCTCTATACCCAGTGTTCTATAAGGACAAAGTTCAACTGCGGCCACATCCAGCCTTTCTGCCCAAGGTCGTTTTGCAGCTTCATACTAACCAGGACATGTATTTACCTGTCTTCTTTCTGAAACCTTATAAGTCAAATGAGGAGTGTAGACTGCACTCTCTCAATGTCAGGAGATCATTAGCCTTTTATATTGAAAGGACTAAGCTGTTTCATATGTCGATGCAGCTCTTCGTCACGGTGGCAGACAGAATGAAGGGCCTTTCTGCTCTGCTCAGAGAATTTCATCGTGGATAACCGCCTGCATCAGGTTTTGCTATGAACAGGCAATCGTAACCGATCCTTCGACCAGAGTACAAGCCTCATCGGCGGGCTTTTTGGCCCAGGTGATGATTCAAGATATATCTGTAGGTCCTCTACCTGGTCATCCATCCATACATTCATGTCCCATTACATGATCACCCAGCTGGCCTGGGACAATGTTGGCTTCGGTAGAGCAGTGTTGCAAGCTGCACAACCATGAACTCTGAGCCCACCTCCAGGGGTACTGCTTGTGAGTTGCCTAGAATGGAATCGACATGAGCAAGCACTCGAAGAAAAACAGTTACCTACTTTTCATAACTTGTTCTTTGAGATGTGGTGTTTGTCTATTCCATGACCCGCCCTCCTTTCCTGCTGACAAGTTGCTGGCAAAAAGAACTGAGAGGGCCCAGGGCCAGCAGCGCCTGATATGCTGGCACAGGATCACGGGGCTCAAGAGGGCGCCAGAGCCAGCCCTACGGATACCACTAAGGCAAAAAATTCCGACAGTGGTGCACACACCTAGAATGGAATGGACATGAGCAACACGTCTCAAAGAACAATAGTTACGAAAGGTGGGTAACCATTTTTTCTCCCAAATAGCTGACCATTGCAAATACCATTCTCAGTGCCTTTTCTTTTATTTGCATGCATAGATCAGCAGGGGGGAAGAAGCGCTTTAAAGCTGGTGTGGCCTTTGTGGCCATTGTTGCAGTGAGTTTTGCAGCTTTACAGTTCAAATGAGCTGTTTGACATTATGTACCGAGAATCTGGAAAGTGAGCTTGGAGCCTCATCTGGGCTGGGTATCTCTAGATACTTTCTGGAGAGCCAAGAATGGGCACTCTGCCTGCAATTCTAATTCTGTGTTCTTCAGGTCCTTTCAAGGGGAGGCTGTGCTTTCCACACCTCTTCATTCTGTTGCTTATACAATGGAGGAACTGTGTTCCCCATCACTCCTGCTTTCCTTCTAACCATCAGCACTTATCTGAACAGTGGTTATAAGGACCACATCTGGTCATGAACTCTTCAGAGCTGCAACTTCCTTTTCCAGCTTACACTACTCCATCCTGTGTCGAGTGTGCAGATGCTTCAGCTCTCTGGTGAAAGGTCTGGCATTTTTCTTGGATCCCATTCAGGAACTGTTGAAAGAAGACTTAAGATTGTACTGTGTCCCAGGGAGACTTCTCTGCCAAGCTTTGGGAGAGAGGAGGTGAAGAGTACAGGGTCTGCACCCAGGTTAAATGCCTACACTGTTCATTTTGGTCCACAAGAACATTGGATGTTCCTGTTTGCTCTAATTAATGCCACTGAAGCCAAGCTCTAGGATTGGTGTTTGCAGCACGTATGAGCGGAGATGGTTCTTCACACAGCTACCCACACTCCAACCAAAGAGCAGCGAAGCGCTCGTGTTCTTTGTTTTCAGCATCATGCTTAGTAAGTTAGCAGCCGATCTGGAAGGTTACAAATCTGCAAAGTCTAAGCTTAATTGAAGTTTACACTTCTTTTTAATTAATCCACAGTTTTCTTAACGCCTCTTCCCACCTGTGTCTTACACATCTTCATATAAATACTGGAGTGCTGATCCTAAGATTTTATTGCTCTAGAATGTGCAAGCACCTTGCAGTGACAGAAGGTGAGTGGGAAGGCCATGGAGTTAGAATAGCATTGAAATCATAATATGAATGAGATCTTGGGCGGTGGGTGGGTAGTTCTGAGTGGAGATATGGCTTTGCCTTCTCTAACCTTGTTAGCTCACATCTTCTTTCCATTTAGCTTATAGATCCATGAAGCTCTCCATATACAAAATATGTGAACTCTGTCATGGTGGGGTGTCATGCAAAACAGATGTTCAGAGGGTTTGGGAACCATTCAAGAGAAGTGTCGTCTTCCTCCAGACGTACCTCTGTGAAAACACTATACAATCTGCTTTAATTGCAGCGCTTCTAAACTGATGTGTAATTCCAGGCTGGAAAGTGTTCGATCTTCGATCTGCAGGATGAAGGATTGTACCTGAAAGTAAATGAAATCTCATGGCAAGTAGGTTGTTTTCAGTTCTATGGGATGTCTTCTCTGGCTGTGGAGCTTTGGCCATCTTGTAGTCCACTTAGATTGTAAGGCCCTTGGGGCAGGGACTGTCCTCTTGTTTGTTTTTGTGCAGCGCCTAGCACAGTGGGGCCTGATCCGTGACTAGGGTGCTCTGGAAATTCAAATAATAAACATATATAGGCTGCTCCATGTTTGGGGTTTGATGTAGAGCACAGCAAGGTGACCTGGGGAGGGGACTAAAAATTACGGAGGCAGGGCAGCTAATGAAATAAGTAGCTGGCAAGACGAGCTCAAATAGTTAACTTTATGGTAGTATTTGAAGACATCCCAGAGAGGCGTGTGGCTGATTTCTGGCTGGGAATGCTTAGGATGCAATGAAGCTCCACCGCAAAGGAGGTGGAAGAGCCAGCTGAATCTGTACGTCTCTGAAATCTAATTGTGAAAATGACCTTCATGTACAGAGCTTAGACAATGCCTGTCAAAAGCCCTGCAATGCCTCCATGACTGTAACATTCAGCTACCTTGGCCAGGCGTCGACAAAGAAAGAGAAACCTAACCGTTGGGAACTTTCCAAACGAAGCCCTCCAGAGAGGGCTACCAAGAATTAAAGGGAGCATGGGGGGAAGGCATTGATCCAACAGTGCTCTACCCCAGTAAGCTTAGGATATACTCCGATGGGAATGTGCTGTTGTTCAGTACCCATCTGTTCCACCAGTGTGTAAAGTGAGAGTGCTCTTCCCTTTCTGTTTTAGGCACAGTACTCCTAGACACAAGTGGACTCTTGCTATTTATTGAAATATGGACCTTTTTCATTGAAAAGCTCCACGAGATGAATGTGAGGTCTTCTCAGCTGTTTGATCACGTACAGCCGTAATACTACATTTTTCAAAGTTTGCCTTTGTTCCCAACCTGGCATCTTCATCTTTCTCCCTCTGCAAGAAAGAAGGTGAAGCTGGGACAGCTCTTTTTGTTCAAAATTTTGGTTGATATATTCTAGATCTATTGAAATTTTTTTGCATAGATTTGTTGCTGAGAAAAATCCAGTGCAGTTTTGGATAAACACATAATTAAACACTGAAAGACCTTGATAGCTGGCAAGGTACCAAGGTACCTCTGCTTCCCCACCCCCAAAATGGGAGATGACTTCCGCTTTTTCTCCATGTTGTCATGGACTTCCTACAGCAACAGATTGCTCTTTAAAGTGATATGTTTAGCCTAACTGCACATAGGTGCTTCTTCCCTTCTCCCTCCTGATCAGCATTTCAGATGCTCTTCCCCTGGAGGCACTGGTAGACCCGACGTCACTTGGATTTCAAGGGGAAAAACTGGACCAATATTTGGATCGCGTGGCTCTGCAGAACACAGATTGAGGGCAAATGCTTGACGATGATGTTTGCATGCATAAGGCTGAGCTGATTGTCGGTATGCCATGAGAGAACCATTCCTCCTCGACCTCAAATTTTGCTGAGACCTGGAGAGGGAGTTTCTCGGTCACTAGGAAAGCTATGAAACCAAGTCCTGAAATCCCACAACAGAACCCTCTCAACAAAATAAAACATTACAATGCTTCTGTGCTCACAGCTGTGAGATCTGGACACCATACAAATGGCATATGAAACCGCTAGAGCTCTTCCATATGCCGTCTCTGCGCCATTATGGGGAGCCTCTGGCAAGACAAAGTTACCAACCTGGAGGTTCTCCAAAATTCAAATACCACAAGCATCAAGACCATGCTGATAAAAGCCCAACTACGCTGGGTTGGACACATCATTTGGATGCCTGAACATGGACTCCCCAGAAAAATTTTCTGTGAAGAATTGGACATCGGAATCAAGGCCGCCCCAGAAAGCACTACAAGGACAGCATGAAGAACAGCGCACCTGTTGGTGCATAAAACGGGATAATCTCAAGAAGGCTGCGTTAAATAGATCAGACCGCACACTGGTGACACACAACGCTCATATATAGGTGGGCCTTGCATTGAGAGTCAAAGATCAGATCGTAGTTTGTTCCTTTCTTGTGGTAGGGAGTCCTATAGCTAGACCAATTCCCAGCACAGGCTCGTTGTGTCCTTGACGCTGTCAGTTCCAGAGTGCAGGAGGAACGCAGCAGACGTGGTCATGAGGGGAGAGAGCGGCCTCCTTTAAGAAGGGTCTGACTTTTAGGTCCAAATTTCTGCCTGCGCGATTGAAGAGATGAGTGCCTGATGGGGATGGACTGTGGTTGGGGAAAGTCCTGCCTCAAGGGGTGGAGCTGGCGATGGCGTTCAGCTGGGGTTTCTCCTAGGGTTATGTTGCTGGTTTGTTTTTGTTGTATTGTGTAGACTGTGAGCAGTACATTATTCCAACAGATAAATTAAAAATTAGCTGATCATAGAATCATAGAATATCAGGGTTGGAAGGGACCCCAGAAGGTCATCTAGTCCAACCCCCTGCTCAAAGCAGGACCAATTCCCAGTTAAATCATCCCAGCCAGGGCTTTGTCAAGCCTGACCTTAAAAACCTCTAAGGAAGGAGATTCTACCACCTCCCTAGGTAACGCATTCCAGTGTTTCACCACCCTCTTAGTGAAAAAGTTTTTCCTAATATCCAATCTAAACCTCCCCCACTGCAACTTGATGTGGTGCATCAGCTCTGGGCGATGACATATCCCCCTCAGTGTCCACCAAGGGCATCCACTTTCAAGCTTCCGGATCCCCAGCTGTCAACCTCTCTGGTGCTGAAACATGTGTCTGTCTCCATCCTAACTGGGGCTTTTCCAGACTGCACAGCTCCCTGCGCCTCTATGGTTTTCCAGCAGGTGAACCTGTCTCAGCAGGCCTGCTTTGCCTTCTCTTTGGAGGCTATAAACAGCATAATTTCCCATAGGTATAAGGTACCACACAGATTTCTTAAGCAAGCACATTTATTTTTAAGGTGAAAGCGTTAGACAAAAGATATTACAACAATAAAAGAATTTACATACATGTTAATTAGCTTACCAGAAATCACCCCAAGTCCAGCAAGGGCTCTGGCAGGTGATCAGTCCTTCAAACCCCACCAAGGCGTTTTCTGTGGCCGCAAGTTCATGACCGCTCTTAATTCAGAACAAGCACCCCGATGAATAGGTCAAGTCCTTCCATTCCCTCCTAGGAAAGATTGGGGCCCCCTTTGGACAGAAGGTCTGGTCTGTTTGCTGGATCTTAAAGCTGGCCCTGAATCAGTTAAAACTCATGCTATTTATCCAAAAGTCCTTTCTTTGCTGGTCTCTGAGAATCCACTCTTAACCAGTATATGCAGTCTCTCCAGAGGTGTTGCATCCTGAGTGAATTTGCCCAGCCACCTCAACCCCACTGTCCTTAGCTCCTGGAGGATTGCAGTCCCCCTGCCCCATGAAATTACATACAATCCCTGGCCCATAACGATATGCAAACATCATTCAGTAAGGCTTGTGCAGGGAATTGCCATGCCTGTCACAGCTTTGGCAACTTCTGCTAGGACTCTAATTTGGATCCGGTAATGAACAGCTACTCAGTGCGGTCTGCAGAGCACTAGGGTGACACGCTGTGTTTAAAGATGGGCTGCTGCATATGGTGTCATCTGCAGTGTTTCTATTTTGAATCTCCTGTGAACAATGAGGAACAACTGTGCTGGCTATATGGAGGGTATGGATATATTTCAGCTCTGGTTAATGTATTCACTTGAGCACGTGCACCTTTGTATTGGAATATTTTGTTTTGGCAGTCTAGTATTATTTATTTATTTATTTTTAAAATCTGGGTCATCTTGCCTGCAGCTGAGAGGGAATACACTACTGTGGTTAACACTTGCTTTCTGGGAGCTGGCCATTAAAGGTTATTCAAGAGCATAGACTGGGATCTCAAAGGCCCCTAAGGGAATGGGTGAAATTCAATGGGAACAGATGCCTGATTCCCCTAGTTTCCTCTGCACATCCCAGCCATGTTGGTGTCTCATTTCATTTCCCCCTGGGATTTGTACGTGTTTAGCTCTTGCCGGCTGGGAGACGGAGCATTACCCAACTTGTGCCAAAATCTGGATCACTGGCATGGAGACCATGCTCGCCCTACAAGAAACCATTCTGTAAATTTGCAGTCTTACTTTTCACTATGCTTTTAATTGTGCTTTTAATTGTGTACCCAGCTCAATACAAATGGATTAAAAAAATCATATTCTAAGTTATCATTTGATCTGTTGAGAAGTACCAAAGACTTTGCTCCTCTCTGGCTGGGCTCTTTGGTAGTGCCCTAGCTGTATCATTATGGCCATTGCACTCGCACACACTCGGGCGCGTGTACACACACACACACAGAGCAGTCCTCTTGCTGGAGCATTAGGGGTGTTCTGTTTTTTAAGCAGCTCCTTCATTAACTTATTTTAAAATGTCCATTTAAACCATTGGCTTTGATGGCGTGTTCCAGTAACTGAATAAATTAAGTAAATACCATAGTTCCATCACTTGAAAGCAATCATTATTGGACAACTTCTCTGAACTTCAAAGGTTGAAGTTTTTGGGGTGAAATTGTCTGGGTATCCTGAACTAGGAAGTGCATTTTTCATGCCTCTCCAGCTAACTGGCCTGCCAACACCCTTACACAGTTCAAATAACATGCAAATAGTATCTTATCAAGTTATCACTTGTCTCTCAGTGAATTGGCTATGTGAATTAAGGCTTCTAATTCTCTTAAGTGTGTAAAATAACTCTCAGATCCATAGGGTTGTAAAGTGATAGTGCCCATGGTAATAACTATAATACTAATAAATTATACTAGTAACACCTAAAGCCCCAAATAGAGATCGGGGCCCAATGTGTTAAGTGCTGTACAAACACACAGTAAAAGACACTACTTGCCCTAGAGAGCCTGCAGTCTCAAAGGGTGGGAGAGGAAAACAGAGATTAAATGACTTGCCTAAAGTGTGTCAGCAGGTTAGAGACAGAGCCTGACGTGAGGTGCCCTATCCACTAGGCCGCACTGCCTCTGTGCTCACTACTGACCTCTGTTTTTGATCACCAAATGAAAGTATCTTTCTAATGCACGTTTCCCCACACACCTACCTTGTCTCCCAACAAATTCCCTATAAAGAGGGAAAGGCACTTGTAAGTCAGTGTTCAATTTGGGCTGTCCAGTTAGTAGTTCTTAGGATTGCACTTTGTGATCACCAAATGCTGCAACTTGAGTTGTGTTTGCTACTGCCAGACACCAGGCTGTTCAGTAGCTGCGTGAAACTTCCTGAAGGGGAACATAAAGAAATGAAATCAGCAACACAAGGAATACTTTCATTAATTCAGTTCATGCACTAAGCTCTGGCTCAGCTACTTGAATGAACTATCTATTCAAAGTGGCAGTCGTGTGGGCGGGTGGCAGAGGGGTGTGTGTAGAATCACAGTAAAAATAGAGCTTAGACTACATGGAGAGCTGGTCTGTGAATAGTTTTTGCATTGAATTAACTATCTCTATTTAGAAACTGACACGAATAAATCTGTGTAACCTCCCATGTGAATGTGGTTATCTTGGTATAAAGGTGCCAGACATATTTATGGAAATAAGTACCTCAAAGGAAAGGCCATTGGATCATGCTTTAAATCCTCTACCTGACTCTCACTGCCTTCCCCCACCCTGACAGGTTCATGCCATAAGAGTAAACGCATGTCACGTGGAGAGAATTCCAATTCCAAGACAGCTGCACTTGTGACTGTGTTCTGTAACTTGCTCTCCTTCCCCGTCCAGGTATGAAAGGCATGGAGTGCTCCCCCTCAACCCCCACCATGAACTCCTACTTCTACAAATTCATGATTAACCTACTCAAGAGATTCAGCAGTGAGCGGAAGCTGCTGGAGACCAGAGGAGCATTCATCATCAGGTCAGAACACCATCTTTCTCCATCTCTTTCTCATACCACAACTTGTGATAAGAACATCTTCCTTCTAGGTGGTGTGTGGCATTTTAGCCTAATGCTTGCCTGGTTCTTTGTGGCCAAAGACCTCTCTGCAAGCCATCTTTGTTTGCCAGTCATTGCAGTTGATATTTTTAGAGCAAATGAATAAATTTTTCACATGTTAAGACACCATATTTTTCACTTCTATCCCCTGAGGTTAAATATTTCCTAATTAAACACTGTTTTCAGATCCTATCTTGCTGAGACACTAACAAAACAGTGGGAGTGTGAAACAGGCTATTCTGTGGGTGTGTGGACCCTCTTTCTTTAGCTGGTGCGGGGTACAGTGTGGTGTAGTACTTGTGTGCATTGACAATCTGTTCAGAGCATTTTCATTGTGAGATGTATACACTCAACAGTTGCACTGCCTGGTAAAACTCATCACTTTAAGAGAGCGCTTTTAAATGGGAAGGCGAACGGAACTGTGGAATCAGTGTCGTGGTCTCTTGTGTGGTTTGATTTCTGTTTCCAGGGACCTGTAATTAGGTGGTGGATACTGGGAAAACGTGCATTGCGACAGACAGCTGGCAGTGTGTAATCCTTAACACACCAGATCTGGGGCAAGGGCAGCAAATTCTGCTGTGCTTTCTCAGAAATCAGCTTGAAGGTCACAGGCGAGGCAAAGGGGGTATTGAGTGGGAGCAGAGCCCAATTGTGTCTCTTTCCTTCCTTGCCTATATCAGAAGGCATCATTGAAGTATGCTCGAACTCAGAACCAAATGAGCATGGAGATTTGAATTCCATGGAACTCCCTCTTCCAGGGCAGGAGGAGGTCAGAGGCAGACTGGATGGATGGAATAATTGCGAAAGGTACACGGTTAAGTATTAACCGTATCGCTTACAAGGAGTGTAGTGATCAGAGGTTGCAGTCCTGGTTAGCATGCTGCTCATGCACGCCTAACCCTTATGTTTGCAGAGAAAACCTTCAAGGTGTGTCTAACGGCAGTGATGTCTGCCTGAGTCCTCTCCTCTGTTGTTTCAGGTCGTCTGCAGAGAGAGTTGCCCCATTCATTTCAAGGGGAAGTTAGGGTTTGAAGCTGCCATTAGATCTCGGTGTTAATTATTCGTGCTAAAACAATTAGCAGTGAAACATCTGTGTACACTAAGATTGTGTATGGGGCATGAGTGCCACCGCTCTTTCCCCAGCAGGGGGAAGGTCTGCAAGGTGTTTTTTTCACCTCTCCCAGGATATCCCCCACTCCATGCTTATATTACACCTCAGTTCCACTAGATGTCGGATCTCAAGAATCACGGGAGAAACTAATTTCCCAAAGCCTAGATTGGCATGTGCTAATGGCCTTCTCCTGTCAAAGTTTATGCTATGTGGGATTTTTATAACAGCAAGTGCTTTCTCTCTTCCCTGCCTTCTGCAAAAGGGAACACATGGCCATGGTCTGCATGCACTGTGCTTGAGAGGGAGTGGTAGAATGGTCCTGTTTCTGATTAGAGGGCCAAGGCCCGCACTGCACATTGAGAACTATACCTGGGTCTCATTCTGGTTTGGAGACTGTACAGTTTCCTGTCAGACATTCCTCTGAACTATAGTCAGCTGGACTCTTTTACGTGGGGAAAATGGCACAGGGACCAAAGGTTCCTGCATCTGGGCTTGCTGTGCCATTTCCCAATGCGTGGCAGAAATGAAATTGGGCCAGGTCATGGCAGCTTAATATGCCAGTGCTTTTCTTGGTGACTTGTGCTCCAGAATCCAACCTTCCAATTAACAGAGAAATTAAGGCTCCAGCCCTTATGGCTGTGAAGAGACTCTTGTAACTGATACAATGATGACTCCCTGAGTCTGCATACAGCATGATGCGATAGCTTGGAGAGGTATGAACTGCCCCATTGATCTCTGGAGGTGTTAATTCTTGAGCTTAATATATGCAGTTTCAATGCCAGTTTTAACTTTCACTGATTTAAAGCAAGTGAGAAAGGCGGAGGGGAGAGAGTTTGCTGTACTGTCAGTATTTGAATTTGATCTGTTGTCACCAAGACCCACTGATCATGGGAGCCACTTGCACTATCTTCAGTGCAGTCTTTTCAGATTGTCTTCAGTGTATTTGTTCTTACTTTTTTCCTAAGTAGAGCCAGTTGCTTGACTATAATTGTGGTTTGATATTAAAAATGTTCAAGAACCCAAATAACCAAGCCTTTGCCCAGTGGTTTTCAATCTTTTTTTCATTTGCAGACCCCTACAAAATTTCAAATGGACGTGAGGACCCTTTGGAAATCTTCAATGTAGTCTGCGGACTTGCAGGGGTCCGTGGACCACAGGTCGAAAATCACTGCCTTAGCCAAATTTTATTGTCCAGCGACCAATCTTTACAATACATAAAGCAACAAGTTAATACTTTTCCAATCCTTGTAGGAAGCTGTTCTCTTGCCGTGTTCAGTTCATCCTGCACAGAAGGTGTGCTCCGAACTAAGCGTTCAAACTAGCAATATCTGTAGTGGAGAGCTCTCTGTTTGTCACCTAAGACTGAAATCCACCAATCAGCTCTTTGTCTTGTTTTCCTTTATCCACCTATTCCTTCCTTATCTCCCTGTTTTGGATGCCACGTTCCAAGTACTAGTTGTGCTGTAGAGGCACATCCCAGCCTGTCCTGGGACATAGAATTAGTGGATCTTGTCCTGACTGGTTTCATATTTACTAGTGCCAAAGCTGAGTTCGGTTTTGCAAAGTGTTGTGGGATGCTTAGCATGGGCGAACAGAATTGTGGGAAGAGCATAATACAATTCCGTCAGCATAACGTCCCAGCACTTGCATGGAATGTATACCAAGATTAATATCGGATGCTCAATGCATGGTAAGCTGGTGTGGGCCATACGTGTTAATGTGCTGTGCAATACATATGTGTTGGCTAGTACCACAGTCCAGTTGTGCACCCTCCCTGAGTGAGTCTGCCTGCTACTGCATAACGTGCTGATGTCCTGCAGATGCCAGGCTGATTCTGGGGTGAAGGTAGGGTGGTAAGTTGGTACCAGAGCACGTGATGTGCAGGTGTTGGACAATCACTAATGTCCTAACAGTTTCTCTTCCTTGCTAGTGGGCACTGAGTTATAAGGATAAACAAAGTAGTTCCCACAAGTGAATCCTTAATAGAAGAACACAGAAAGGTTTCCCCATTAGTAGCTTGTTGACCTCTAACCCATGGCATGAATTCAGGTGATTGGCAAAATAATCATATCTTGAAGTTAAGATGCTTTCTAAACCAGTGAAAATGTAACTAATGCTCTGATGCAGGTAGGAATAAGCAAAGAAACTTAGATTATTTTAAAGTGAGCTTAGCTGTGAGCTTGAAGCGTAGTATTCAGCTTGAGGCCCAGTGGTAGCAATGGTTAGCAGAAGGCCACATTAGGCTTAATGAAAGTTTAGCATTAGCAAGTAACCTGGGGTCAGAAGATTTAGCAATATCTATCTTGTGATACACTGCAAGACTGTAAAGCCTTTATTTTGCCTGAGTTCCCGAACTGCATTGTATAGAGAACCTTCTGTCTGCACAAATGCTTACAGCAATTGTCAGAACCCAACCATGGGTAGCAGGAACGGCAGGTATGAACAAGAGGCCAAGACTTAGAGTGTGGTCTCAGAAACAGGTCGCTGTAAGGGAATAAGTGCATAAATGGGGACTCAATCCCAACCCGTGGCGAGACCTCGGGATAGCAGGATGGTGGCAACCTTAATGCTTACTCCCCCTTTCAGGGGAACCCTCAGCCCATGGATTGGAGAGTATACATCATGCAGATTCTGCTGCTATCTTCTAGTTCTAAGATTTTGTTTATATTGATTGTAGTATTAATAAAATATAGTATGTCTCACCAATCATCATCTTAATTAATCTCCAAGTAGCCACCAAAGCACAAACACATTATTAGTGACAAGTGCATGTTGCACCCCAAATTAATTGAAAGGCTACAGCCTTTCTCCTTTCTTTTAATTCCTTATCCCCCACATGTGGCACAGATTCTGTCTGTTTTGATTGCCTGCAGCCCCAAGTACAGCTAAAACTAAGGAAAACTGGGAACAAGCTGCATTTCAGTGACTTGTTGTACACCCTTGGAACCTGGCTTGGGAGCAGAGAATGAGAACAAAATGGTTAAATTTAGAAGACTATTTTGGGGTGAAGGAATAACATGAGATGAAAAGGAATTGTGCGATAGAAAGCTCCAAAAAACAAAGTAGTGACTCTTTCTCTAGTGTTGCCAGTGTTGTCTGATCTTGGCAAAGAGGGAGGTCCAGAGGGTCAGATGGAGGCTGCCAGGCAATGTCTGGAATAATCATGGTTTATTTCCTAACCCCCTCTGGTGCTCAGCAATGGCCCCTTGTAGTTGATGATTATGAAAGACTTTCACCTCTTTTCTACTAAGTCTTCATTTGACCCTGGAGGCTGAAGGTATGTTCTGTGTATGAAGTTCAGGGAATATGACTCAGGTGGGTAGTTCTTCAGTAATCCTAGAGGCAAATGAATTTCTGGCAAGTCACATGTGCAAAGCATCTTCTGTAGGACAGTCTCTGGAGTGATGTTGGCATCTACTCCTGACGGAGGGTCTTTCCTTTTTTCTGGCCAGAGGACGGGTATGATGCCTGGGTCATAGTCCTAGCACCAAAACAGGATGGGTAGTGCTCAGTCACATTATGCCCTGGCTTCCCGTAACCTTGGGAGACTGAGGAAATCAGCCCTGGAGAACTGAACAGTCACCACGGACACAGAATAGTAACATTGCTGACCTTTTCATTTCCGCAGTGCGTAGCTCCACTCCCCCATCCTTCTGCTAATGGCTTTCCCTCTATGGGTAACTTACAGGCCCATAGCTAAATCCACCTCCTGACCGAAGGGGGCATTGCTGCGGGGATATATAGAGTCCAGTTTCCACTCCCCCTCAGTGCAGCTGTTGATGCACAGCTCTCCTTAGGGGCCTGGGAAAAT